GTGAAGAGGTAGATCTTGAGCGGCGGCAGAAGGTTTTGCATGAGCACGGCGAGGGCTTGCTGCAGGTAGAGTGCGAATGCGGGCACCGACATGGTGGCGATCGCCGGGCCGGGCGCCAACGCGGCGGAGGTCTCGTCTTCATCGTCCGAGATGTTGGTGATGCTGATGGCCGTGACGTCGGTCTCGAACTGGTAGTCGGCGCTGGGGTCTTCGAGCATGGGCGGTGTCGACATGATGTACGCCATGACCCGCAAAAACTATAGTGGGCGACGCAATTTGTCTGCAATCGCAAGCGGCACGGTTGATGATGGAGGCGCGCTGATTGACGAATATGTGACACAGATGTCAAATATTTCTGGTGGGATTGCACCGGCCGGCTAGGTTTAACGCGTTCTATTCACGTTAAACGTGATGAGCGAACCAATGTGCGCTGACGGTCTGCGTGGCCGTGCCACGGAGCCGCTCCAAGCGATAGCACACAATGCATTAAATATCTGTGCACAAGGAATACACGCGCCGTACGATGCCGCGTGTGATCCCATTGGACAATGTCGGCCCCCACCGCTTTTGTCGTACCTGTTTAAACGCGTTCAATACCGTCCGGCTTGTTTGACGAAACAACCCACCGCATTACAGCGTCGGTAAGGGCGCGGAAGGTTTGGCTAATGCGGTTGTTTTCGAAACAATGCACATGCATCTCAGTCTGCATGCAAAATCGAGCGCTCTCCGTCATCATTTTATTGCAGCCGCAACTCGGTCTCCACCGTAAAGGAACGCCATTGGTTCGACTGAGATTCGTTCTATGACGTGGCACTCTGAGACCCGTGTGACGAGGCAGGTGCGCATGATAACGATACGCAAATCAGTCCACCCCAGCCGCTCCAGTCCCATACTGACGTGGCAAAGAGAGTAGTCTTGAGATTGGTATCGAAGCCACAGAAAGGTGCTCACAGCGATGGAATGCGACGCCTGGTGGCACGGCGCAGGTTCGGTCACCGTAGAGCCAAGGTTTATCGCGTGATTTGCATGTCCGCAGTATATGCATTTGTGTTTAGTTTATTGGGAGGGCGTTAAATAGACAAGCTAGTACTTTTCGAGGGCTTGCTGCCACGAAAAGGTGACGAGCGCGACGTAACCAAGCACGACAAGCACACCCGCGACACGCGAGGCGCCGTGCGACTTCATCATGGCCAGTGGCGTCTTCTGCGACGGCAGCAGCACAAGCCAGATGAGGCCCACAACTTGGATCGAGAAGCCGATGATGTGCGGGTACGCGACTTGGTTGTGTGTGTGTGAGTCGTTCTTCATGCTCATGACGGCCGGGAACTCGTCGACGAGCGACGTGCGCACCTTGTTGGCGATCGGCACGTTGAGGTCGCGGATGGTGGCCCAGAGACCCGCAATGACGGCTTCGTAGCCGACGCCGGCCATCTCGACCATGGCAAAGCCCGTGACGAGGTTGGTAATGGCAACTGGAATGCCCGTGAGCAAGAAGAGCGCTGTGAAAACCCACGCGTTGCGCGAGACGTCGTAGATGACAAAGAACGTGGCGAGGGCCATGAGCACAATGTTGGAGACGGTCGTGACGGCGACGACGCGGCGCCAGTTCCACTGCAGCGCAAAGCGGCCATAGTGGATCGTCGCCGGCACGAAGAGCATGCGCGGCGTGATGTTGATCCAACCCATGTCGAGGTTGGTGACCCACGCGTAAATGGGGCTACCGGTGATCATGGCAAAGAGGTTGAACGCGAAGCGGAATGCGAGCAGCTGGAACACGACGCGACTCGTCAAGAGCGTCCAGAGCCCCGCCGACCAGGTGCGTAGGTCGTGCGACGCGCGCTTCTTGGAGTCGACAATGAGACCGAGGACGCATGTGAGGGCCGCCAGCGCCATGCCAACACCCATCCAGTACGGGACGTTGGGACCCGCGGAGAAGTCGTAGTTGCCACCGTACCGGGCGCCGTTGAGAAAAAACTGGTTGAAGAAGCGCGCCATGAGACCGCCCGACCCCATGAGCGCGTACATAATGGCTTGGATTTGACCGCGGGTCGCAAATGGCTCGCGCTGCGCGTACTCGACCATGAGCCCGTCGACGGAGGCGGTCACGATGACGACGCCGAGCGTGGCCACGAGC